CCATCCCCATGGCAGCTGCACGTGGTCCTGGCGGGAGAAGGCATGTCCAGAGCTGCCCCCGAAGCACACAACAGACAGCCCGGTACAGGTCTGTACTCTGTCCAGTGCTCAGCCCCAGAATGACCAGTCACTCCCTCCCAGGACTCCCCAGCCCCACAGGAGCCCCCGGGAGCCGCGTGCGCCGTAGGTGTGGTGACAGCCCTCTCTGGGGCCTGCAGGCAGCACAGTGCTCTGGGAGCAGGACAGGGTGACTCACTGGCACCTGCCACCATGCAGCAGTTGGCTGATGCTGCTGCAAGCAAGATGTGACCTGACTCTCCATTGTAGAAATCTCCACTTTCACTCCACATCTTTGCCTGTTTTGCTAAGGCAACAGTGGAGATGTGACTCCAAACAGGCGCTGAGGCCAAGTTCTCCAAGGAGAACCTCCTCTCCTGTTTTGCAATTTAGGCTGTCACCATTCCCCCAGGACCTGGGGTGGCTAAAGCTCACACAGCAATCTCTGAGGTCATTTGCTCAGAGTGACAGAGGCAAGGCCAGCTGGCACCTCTTACCTTCCAAACCAGGGCAGCCACCACCCAGACCAGGTGTGGACAACCTTACTGAGCCCAGCTCCTGGGCAGGTGAGGAACTAACACCCACCTGTCACAGCCTCATCCCAGGTGAACAACCTTCCCCCTGGGCAGGGAAGGAGCCCGCAGCATTGACTCACCTGCCCTCGTTCCTGGAGCCCCAGCACAGCCACAGCCGCCGCTGGAGCACCTCCGAGCAGGTGCTGCGGCACCAGCCCCGCCCCTGCCAGCCACCACCCAGGGGAAGTGTCCCCTGCGGCTCCATGGCAGCAGAAACACAAACGGCCCTGCACAGCAACAGAGACAGGGCTTGTGAGATATCACTGGAGCCTCCCCCTGCCACCTGTGATCCACGTGGCCTCTGCACAGTGCACCTGCAGTTCCTGAGGGGCCGTGAATCCATGGGCTATGTACAGACATCTCCGAGTGCTGGAGGCAGAGGATGCTCCTTAAGTCTTAGCAGTCACCTCTAAACACACTACCTGTTCCCATCTCCATCCTCCTGCTCCAAAGGAGCTGCACAAGAACCTACCAGGTTCTTCAAGCCAACACAGCAGTGCCAGTTACCACACACTGTCCCCACAGGCCAACATCAATCAAGCTCACTCGGCAATTCCCTGACAAAAACCCAGGGGCCAAAGCTCCCCAGTGAGTCAGACCAGAGATAAAAGCAGCCCTGTAAGCCAAGTGAATTTGTTTTGCAAAGGAGCCCAAAGAAAACCATATGCTCACAGCAAGATCTAGAACTGGTACACAGTGTCCACGTCCCTGTGCTTAACAAAGGGTCAACCCTCACCATAACCATGGAAATGAGAGGAGGAATTGTTTCTGACAGCTTTAACTGTGTAAAAACCATTTTAAACACACTGTAATCAAACCTCTTCCTTACAGCATATGAAAGGAGACAAGTCTTGCCACTTCCTAAATTAAAATGGATTTATTTTTCAAGGTATTTTTTGCTATAAAACAATGTCACAACTCTGCTTTTCACAAGGGGCTTACTAGAAAGTGGCTCTATAAAGAATCCTTGAAATTATATTCATGCACATACAAAATGCAGTGACTGAAGAAGTCAGAGCTGCTGCCACATCCACTGGCTGGGCAGATGTGTGTGATCCTTCTCCTGGGACAGCTACAGCAGCCCTTGGCGCTTCAGGTCTTCGTAGGTCTTCTTATTCACCACGTTTCCACTGGAGTCCTCGTACTCCTCCTGGAATGGAACCAGCAGTTTAGAGGCACTGGCCTCAGGCTGTGCTGCAGCATTCCGATTTCAGCTCCAGCAGCAGCACTGAAGGCAGGCAGCAGACCTGCCAGCAGGTCCTGGGAGAACAGCTCGTCTAGAGCCAGAGTATTGCAGACTGTACCACAGGTTGTATTTCCCACCCTTGCCCTGCAGACTGTTGGAAAATAGATTGCGACAGAAGTGGAGGGAAAGGCACCAGTCTAAGCAAGGACACTGCTCACCCCTGGGGTCGGGAAGGCCCTGAGACACAGACACCTCTCACCACTCACCTCCGTGTCAGGCTGCCACCGCTCCGAAGCCTTCTGCTGCTTCAGCTTTGCCCACACTGCAAACACAAAGTCAGGCAGGCTCTGATGCCATTTGCCATGAAAGACTCGTTTTTAATCCAGTAACACACACATTAAGGTTTTTTTCTCCTTCCCTTAAAACAGTGTCACT